ATTAGAAGTTACAAAAATATAAAAATACTAGCAAATAAATTAAACTAATATCAATAAATAATAACAATTTTGTATTGAATATAAAATGTTGATTCAATCTGAAATTTGGCTTAAATAAGCCTTATGATAATAAATTAAAAATTTTATTATAAAATTATATTAAACATTAAATAATCTAACTTCTTATATAAATACCTATATTAATATATAAAGGGTAGAAATTTAAGATTAAAAAAGGTTTTAAAGAAGAAACAAACTTATAATTATATTTGCTATCCAAACTACAAATTTCAAACATAGTAAAATCGTTTAAATAATGTATAACTTTTGAATACTAAAATCCTTAAAAAGAAAGATAATATTTGATCATGTTTTTAGTAATATATTAATTTATTAAACTATTATAAAATTCTATTTTGAAGACTATTTTATTCTATAATTCTGTCTATAATAATTCTATCATCTTATTTCTTACAAGTTGGTATATAATGTTCAATGATTCCATATTTACCATACTTATTTTGTGTAATAGGCTTTTTGTCTTTGGTTTGTGATATTTCAATACTGCTCTTAAATTTTTTAACCAAAGGTTGACCTTTTTGTTATTTCTTAATTGGATTTCTAACTTGGCTGATATCAAAGTTTTCCTTATTATTATCACTAATATAAGCTAATCTTTGTTCTTCAGTAAACCAATCATTAAGGATTCTTTTAAGATAGTAAAGAGATTCACCATCTATTTCAACTGCAGACCAAATTGCCTTTCTTACAAGGCTAAAAGTTTCTTTATAATCATGTTATTTCTGAACTATATAGTGAACTTCTAATCCAAAAACATTATCTTTGCAAATTTTAGTAATTTGGTTTATCAAAAAAAGCCTAGAATAATTTTTATGTAAATGTATTAGCTCAGTATTTGTTATGTAGAACCTTTCATCTAAATCTAAGTCTTGCATTTTTTTTACTTTTATACCAACATCTAGAAATTAAAGTTATATAGAAAAATACTGTATCATTAATAGCCAATATATGTCAAAAATATTAGCATACCAAGCTATGATGAATTAGTAACATATATGTACATAAGTGTAAGTAATTAGAAAGAATAATAATGTAGTTATTATGGATGCAGTTGCATTGCTGCACATTGTATATCTTAATAATTTCATTTTAATCAAGATCATTAAGAAGAAAGATCAAGTGAATTTGCTGTGCATTATACTCTTCTTTGAAAGGTTTACTATTAGGTAAATAATTATTTTCAGTTTTAGCATAATAATATAGTAATTGTATGACTTGTGTCTTTGATGAGAAAACATTTTTTTAGTAAGATACTCCTTAAGAAAACAGTCAATTTCAGAAAAACATTCAGCAGAGATACCATTCAATTGTGTACTTGTATTGGCATAGTATTACTCACTATAATTAATATATCATGCTTCATCACATAGTTACAAATTTAAAATAGTAACAAGCTCACAAAAACTAGAATAAGCTTGAATAACATTTTTTATTACTGAGTTCTCACTTTTAACTCATAATGTTATTAAGATGCCAGCTATAAAGAATTTAGTTGTGTATGTCTTTGCTTATTTTTTTTTATTAGAATATAACTTAGAATTAAGATAATTAGCTAACATACCAGAATCAGAATTAATAATAAAAACTCATAGAACCTAACTTGTAGCATATAAAGTAGAAGTGAGAATTTATTCATACATTTCTTTGGTTTCATTATTCACCAAAGCTTATACAACAAGATAAGTACAAAAATGGTTATCAACTGCTACAAATAGAGAAAGCAGCATATTAAATTGGTTTGTTTTATATGTATTATCATTTAGTATAATATTTTTTTTTTTTTTTAAAGAGAGGTCTATCCTCTATCTTTTTTATTAATTAGTTAATTATACATATATGTAAGATAC